TTGCTATTGCTATTGCTATTGCAGAGGGGGAGGCACAGCCGCCGCTGCCATGGGCAGGGGCACCAGCGGGAGCTTTGGCGCCTTCACTTCCGCTGCAGCGAAAAAAAATCAGGTGCTCAGGAATGAAAATGTGCCGCTCAAACACTATACTTTTCTGCTCACACTGAAAAAAAATTAGAGGGAACATTGATCACAACTGTTTCTTGAAGAAGTCATTGTTGTGACTAGAAGGGCCTTTTTGTGCAGCTTTTAGTTGTGTTCCAGTTGCACCCAATCCTAAATCAAGAGGTTCTATGTTCAGTCACTCAGGCCCTAATTAATTCATGTTTTACATTTTGAGGAATATTTAGAAGCCTCAGTTCAAAAACACATAATGGCAGTCCATAGGTTACCATTGCAATTGGGACTGGGAACTCTTATCTCTGTCATAAAACGTGATATCCCATGACTGCATCATTTAGCAATGACAATTATGAAAGTAATATTTGCTGTCCTTAAAACAATGGCAAATTTAAATGTTTATGTTTCTAACTGTAAGTCATCCAGAATCATGAATGTGAGATGAGAGGCTATATAAAGCATTGGGTTATTAAATAAGGACCTCACATGATTATTAATCAGCTTTCCCATTGACTTTGTTTTTTAGGAAGCAGTCAGGGAATGCTGGACATTGTGATTGTGTGACTGTGGCTCTCTGAGAGAAGTGCAAGCATGTGGCTCACATGACTGCAGGGACATGACTGCAGGGACACATGACTTCAGGGACATGGCAAGGGCTGTTATTCCAAGAATATTAAGTCCTCCTCATTCAGCATTGTTGTAACTTGTAATTGCTGAACAAATGGTCATAATCTGAGGACTGCCTGCATAGATATAGATATTTAGAAACACGCACACAAAGTCAGGAAAGCTCTCCAGTCTATATATCTCATTACATGTTATGGAACTTTTTTCTTAAAAGGGCACAGCAAATATTACTTAAATATAGAATTTATCTATATTTAGTTCCAAAATAAAGGATTCTGAGTTACCTCTGCTGAGTTTAATAAATCATGGATTTCTAGATGGATAATAAAAATTAAGTTTGCATACCAGCACAAAATACCCCAGGAACTTCACTTCGGAATATAACTGTCCGTACTTTTTTGTCTGTTTTCAGAGCGTCCATAACTTTTGATATCTACAGAGAAAAAGTGTGGACATTATCAACACTAATTTTCAGTTTTTCACATTAGTAAGTAATTAAAGTTTCATTTACTTACCGTTTTAATAAGATTTTTATTAAGTGCATTTTTTGCCTGCGCTCTGTTTATTCCAAGTACAACAATTCCTGTATGCAGGGCAAAAAATAATTACAAAAATCAGTTATGCATTCCAAAACATTTAATGCTACATTTTTAAGACTTCTATGTCTTTGGGGGAAAATGCAGGAATTTATATGAATAATTATTGCGGGGCATTTATCTGAAAATGTAAGTGATATAATAACTAGTGTGAATATACTTACTTAATACTTACTTAATAAATACATTTTAATATATTTCTTATTTGAAAAACTATACTTGATAATTTGGAGTGTTAAAAACAAATATAGTATATTACAATAGTGATAATAAAGAAAGGCAGTAACAGTGTTGATAACACTGAAAAATAAACTTGTATGCCAAAGCACCTGAGGGCAGGACAAAAAGCAATGGATGGAAACTAATCAAGGAGAGAAGCAACTTAGAACTGAGGAGAAATTTCCTGACAGTCAGAACAATTAATCAGTGGAACAACTTGC